GGATTACTATGGGCCCTAGTCCAGTCGAATTTTTTCGGGGTAACTGAGGGCCGTAACATTGCAGGTAGGAGAGCGTGGTTGATTGTTTCGACAATCACGCTCGGCCGTAATATAATATTTTTTTTGTTGTTTGTTAACGGATCGGTGGTTCGAACCACGCCGTTAGGCTGCGCAATCGGAGTATAGTTTAGAGTTAGGTACCTACGCGTCAGGTATTTGTATTTAGTATTTGTATTTGTATTGTAGACTACATTGCTGAAGGGTCGGTCCCCTCAGCGGGGCATCCTTGTTGACCGACTGTAGTGTGTACTTGCCGTGTAGTGTAATTGTGTTTAATTTAATTTAGTGGTATTTGTATTTAATAGTGATGCCATCGCACAAGCCACCGGCGCTTCGCTTGCAGGCGGAGCTGCGCTGGGCCGCGATCGCCCATACCTTGATAGGGTGACCCGATCGGGTTCATAGTTTAGAGAAGGGGCTCGAGCAGGTCATGGCCCGAAGGGCCGTAGTGGAGGAGGCTTGCACTGAGCTTTTGGCCTCGGATGCGGAACAGGGAGTCCGAGACTCCTGCCTCGCGGACTACAAGTAATTCTTTTCGCTCACGGACGATTTGATCGAGGCGGGGGCCAAGTATGTTCATGAAGCGCGTGAAGCTCGGCTGAGTGGCCTGCTCGAGTCCCCTCGGAAGCAGCCTACTCAGCCGGAGCTGTTGGGACGACTTCAAACTCTGGACCTGCCAAGGTTCTCCGGGGTCTTCTCCGACTGGCTGACTTTTGTTGGCCTTTTTGACAGCCTAGTGGACGCCTGGAGGGACTTGACACCAAGCCAGAAGATGGCTTACCTCCTGGCCTCACTGGAGGGGGAGGCCCTGGGCGTCGTCGCCCATCTGAAATCGTCGGACGACACCTACCAGATCGCTCGGGACCTCCTTTCCGGAAGGTACGCCAACGTCCGGCGAATTGCGGACGAATATGTCAAGCAGCTGCTAAACCTCCCGTGCTTGAGGACCAGGCCAGACTACGTCCGGACCTCGTAAATCCAGTCTTGGTGGCCTGTAATTCTTTGAGGAGGCTGGATTTACCGGTGGACGAGTGGTCCTTTTTGTTGCTCCACATTGTGCTGTCCCGCCTGTCTCTCTTGATCTTCGGATCCATTTTGAGGAGAGGTACGGCGGGGACGGTGCCTCCTATATTCCGCCCTTCAGGGACCTGCTGCGGTTCTTGGAGGAGCAGTGCAGGCAGATTGAAAACGCAGCGGGCACCGTCGGCGACCTACGGGCTGCTAACCGAGCCGTACTCAGGGAGAAGCGAAGTCCACCGGACAAGTCGCCGCCAACCCCCCTCAGACCGAGCGGAGCTCCCGCAGGAGGGTGCCGCCCCCTGCCTTCTTAGTGGCCTAGTGGCCAGGGAGGCGCCCCCCTGCTCCTATTGTCGAGCATCCGATCACCGGGTGGCGTTGTGCCCAAAATTATTTAGTAAGCCGGTCCCAGCGAGACGAACCATCGCCAAGGAGCGCCGCTCGTGCTACTCGTGTTTGGAAAGGCATCTCCATCGAGACTGGCCGCACCAGCGGCCCTGTCCACACTGCCAGGGCAATCACCATGCCGTTTTGTGCCTCGGTGCGAACGGCGCTTCCTCTTGGGGCTCTGCCGGGCCCTCAACCCCCACGGGTGGGGGCGCTCAGCCACGCCCTCTGTCGGGCGACGCTCGTCGCTCCCCTGCCGATCACCGTGCCCCTGGTTTTGAAGGGGGGTCTCTCCCCCTACCAGTCGGGGGGTTCGTTCCCCAGGGGCGGGGGTCGTCACCCACGCGTGTTGAGAGGAACTTTACGGCCACTCAGCGGTCAGCGAGACCCTTATCACCCCCGTTAGCTTAGAGGCCCCGACTGGAGTACCACCCTCCCTCCTATGGTCGGTACCGGTACTACGGGGTTCCTTCGACCTCGAATTTGTACCGGACTTCAAGGCCGAGGTTCCCCGAAGCTCGCCAGGTCGGCCCGTTTGGTGAATTCCAACCACGGGTCATTGAAAGGCCGCCGGAATGCCGCTTTTGGGACCCCCGGTTCGAGTGCCGGGCCGATGGAGGCCGTTACAGCTAGGTAGCGGCCGCCCTAGCTCCCACCATGGCCGCCTCCACTCATCCGACCATTCGCTGGAGTCGGAACCGACTTTGCTGGCCCTTTCCTCGTCAAGTCCTGCAACCTACGCAACGCGCGTTCACATAAGGCCTATCTGTGCGTTTTCGTGTGCCTTGCCACTAAGGCCGTTCACTTAGAGCTTGTAAGTGCCCTCAGCACTGAAGCCTTTGTGGTCATCCTGGGCCGCTTCGTATCACGTCGCGGTTTGCCGGACCGGATCCGGTCGGATTGCGGAACGAATTATAAGGGTATTATAATTCTAATTAATTATAAGGGCATTTAAAGAAGGTCGTCGAATTTCTGTCCTGCAACAGGACTTATTTGGCTGCTGCGATGTCCGGGAAGGGCATCCAGTGGAAATTCTACCCTCCGGCTTGCCCACGCGGGGGCGGTGATTTCGAGGTGGTGGTTGGGGTTGCAAGAGCACATCTCCGTCGCGTTATTGGCGAGGCTATTTTGAAATTTGAGGAGCTTGCCACTGTATTCTATAAAATTGAGTCGGTACTCAACTCTCGGCCCCTCTGTCCCCTCTCGTCCGATCCGAATGATTTGGAGATTATAACCCCGGGCCACTTCCTGATTGGCCAGCCGCTTAACGCCCTGCCCGAGTACCCCTTCAGGGAAACAAACTCTGCGCGGTTGGGCAGATTTGACCTGCTACAACAAATGATTCAGAGTTTTGGCACCGATGGTCTCTGGAGTACCTACATCTTTTGCAGCAGCGCGTTAAGTGGTCTGACAGGACTAATCCTCCTCGGGTTGGTGACCTCGTATTAGTTAAGGAACCTAACGCTTTGCCCTTGTATTGGCGCCGTGGGCGCATTGTTAAGTTGTCGTATGGACCGGATGGGGTGCCAAGGGTGGCCGAGGTTTTGGTTGGAGACTCGGTCTTACAACGTGCCGTCGCGACCCTATCCCGGTTGCCAATTTACTCGCGGACATAGGTCCTTATGTCCGGGACGGGGGTTTGTTTACGCCTGATTGTTACAAGCTGCAGCTTGCGGGACGCGCGTCTCGAGCGGGGAACCGGTTAGCGTTGCGCGGGAAGGGGGCGCTTGCTATGTGCATACGGCACTGCCAGTGAGCGCAGTCGGCAGGAATCTTTGAGCGCTGAGGCCGTGCCGGTGGGGGTCGCGAGATTAGCCTAGAACATTCGATAGTACGCGGCGACCGTGTCGATTAGAGGTCGCGGGAATAAGAATAGCTGCGTCGCATAACGACGGCCTCTATTGTGTTGTATTTTGTCGTTAATATACGTGACAACGAGGCTTTTTTGACTTTTGATTGACTATTTTGACTTTGATTGCTATTAATTTGCGCCGACGAGTGGCTTGTGTAGTTAATTAAAGTTAAAATAAATTAGTTAAAGTGTACGAAGGAATTTTGCTTTTGTGTGGAACGTTAAACTTTGTGATCCGGAAATCGCGTTATATTCGATTATAGTTTGTGCTAAGTGACGCTAGACTTGAGTGCCGATAGCGGTGAGCGTCTTGTGGAGCGGTTACACACTTTCCTACGCCACACACACACACACACACACACACACACACACACACACACACACACACACACACACACACACACACACACACACACACACACACACACACACACACACACACACACACACACAGACAACATTTACTTAACCCTGACGGTGCCTTGTGGTCGACACTACCTCTGGAGCTCGGTAAGTTTGTGTTTGATTATAGCAGCCGTTATAAATTAATTATCCATAGGCCACCTGGGCCCTCCCCTCATTTACTCGTCGAGTTGGATTACTATGGGCCCTAGTCCAGTCGACTTTTGTCGGGGTAACTGAGGGCCGTAACACCTGGTGCTGCAGTTGTTCATGGGCGGCGGTAATCACTTACCATCAAGTGAGCCGTATGCTCTTTTGGGGGGCACCGCCTGTAAAAAATATGTCCCTTTAGCTGGCCCTTACGATGGTGGGTTGCAAAAATGACTACTTAACGACTCTAATAAGTGATTAACTTTCATGCCGAGGGCTTGATTATTCAAAATATTTGGTACAATTTACGTTTACATGCAACATCTAATTATAATAGTACTTTGATTATAGATATCACGCATTTATTAGAAAAAATCTCAGAAGTGAAAACAATTTATCAAAGTTACCGGATTAACCGATTATTAAAATTTTTGTTGAATATTGTGCAAGCTCAAAGTGCTGTTAACGTAAATAGTAAACTACAAATATTAGCTTTTAAGTAGATGTATCAATTAAAACAAAAACATAACCTAGAAATTTTAAGCTAGGGAAAGACTCCAGTTTGTCGGAGGCAAGATAAATTTATATTACTCTTTACCCAAGACAGGAGTACAACATGTGAACATTTTCTTGGTGGATTATTTTACTTCACACTACTATAAAAATCTCTTTCTTATCTAACGCAACAAATATGAATGTAGGTTACAGTGCGCGTACGATCTGATCGATCGATCTTGTCATCTTCCTTGCAGTTCGATCTGCGGTCATCACAGTATTAACTCCTCTCTTGCCATATTTACACAGTGCATCCTATGTTCATGTTGCTCAAGGTTTATTGATCAGTTAAAGAATGAAGATTATGTATATGGACTATTGGATTCTAATATATAATGTAATATAAAGAAGATTTTATTGTTATCCGTTTTAAATAAATAAAAAAACTATGCATTATCAATTTTAATTTATTTTTCAAAACACTCAGCTAATTTTCAGTAACTTTATTGTCATTAAATTAAAATCTTGTAAAAAGTCCGTATGCATTTTGTTAAAAAAATATCTTACATTTAATAGTTTTTTTTTATATTCAAGTCAAGTAGCATTCAGTAGTGGCGAGGTGGCATTATTGTTTCTTTTATATTCTAGTATTTTTGATGAGTTTAAAAAGCTTTTGATAGAAGTTCACGTCAGGCACGCAAACTGGAGGCAATTCGTTAATTTTTCTGAAAAAAGTTTCATATCGAGCTTCTTTTTCTTGAACCAATAACTGTGGTAATTTTAACTCCTTATACAATTCTCGAATTTTATGTACATGTGTCGGATCCCAACTTCCATAGCATTCCTCGAAAATGCATCGTTGATCTTCATTACTTAGCTCCAATGCTTTTACTGCTAACCAAGAGCATTTGCCTTTTTGAATATCCGTAGAAGATTTTGTCAATCCTTCATAGTCGTAAAAATCTGTTATATCATTCTGAAGTTCAACAAAATAAGCATTAATATGTATGCGGCAATAAAATACAATAAGGATTACAACTTGCTACAAAAAATTTTACGATAACCATCAGGTAATGAGTTATTGTAGCCCTGACGATTGTTATAAATTTTGCATACTCGTTATTTAATTTTAATCCTCCGTCGTCAGCCATGAAGTAGTAAAAGTGATTTACTTGCTTGGCTGTGAAGGAAAATAACGTGAGTAAACCTGCTGTCTGCGAAATAAAATATTTAGTGGGCTTGTGCAGTCCGCAAATACACTGGAGCTGTGCGGTAGACTGACTTCTATAAAATCCCTTGCTATAAACCTCTCAGAAATGAGAAAAGGACCGAGCAGTAAAATATTGTATATTTTGACTGCTTTTAGGCAACATACTGACTATTGTTCACAAGATTTTGATATATTTATAAATGCCAGCAATTTAACATGCGCTTAATTACCTGAATCTGAATTAATACGCCCATATCTACACAAATATTGTGAATTTGTTGCATTGATTCTTCAGTGGCTTTATTGGATAAAATAAGAGCAAAAATTATTGGCACCTCTATAAAGGGAAATGCCGTTTTCATTTCACTCATTTTACAGTAACATTTCATTGTAAAGTTGTCAAAATTTCGATCTCTGGCTAAAGTTATGTCCACGTGCTGTCCCGTCGCGGCTATAAAAAAAATCTGTGAACGTTGCAATAATATACATAAAATTAATGTGATAATTGTAATAAATAATTTATTACTTCGCAAATAAAAATTTGATAATTGTTTCACTAAAATGCAAAAGCAATATCAGTATACTAAATTAAAAAAAATTGAATAAGTACCATATATCAACAATGTACTTATCTAAATTTTGTAAATTATCTGGAGTTTACTTATGACTACGAATTTAAACATGCCTTATTAACAAATTTCGTAATTTTGTAAAACAATGGTTCAGGAAAATTCTGTTGCAATATTTCTTGTATGAAACTACGCAGCATACACGCGTCGTTTATGGCTAATGTACCAACGTTTGGTAATAGATGCCAACAAACTTTGCCACAACGTGTTTTTCCATCATCTTGTATATCGTCAGTAAATAAAAAATAGGATGCACCCTGCAAATAAAATTTTGTTAGAAGAATATGCTACTTGTTTAACGTGGTAGAGCCACGCTGCAGCTATTATGGTTGTAGCATGAATGGACGGCTCGACCGGGGAAGGACAAGTCTCTCACAGAATATCAGCTTAAAATAGCAGCTTAATGCTGCTGTATTTCTTATGGTGAGTGTAGAGAACCAGGGTTCCGTTTTACGGCAATCGAGGCATTCCATCTTAGTCGTCATGGGTGACAACCCATCTGCGTTATGATTCCTAATCGAGGTTAAATGTAGATGTCTATGGGCCACAGCATCCACTTACCATCAGGTGGACTGTGTGCTCGTTTGTCACACTTATCCTATAAAAAAGATACGTCAAAAAGAAAAATCAAGTTGATAACAATAATAATAATAGATATAAAATTTATATGCATATGAAACAAGAGGTAATAAAATTGATTTTGGCTAATCTTCACCTTAAGAGTATTTATCCAATATAACTAGTTTTTAATTAATTTATTTTTATATTCCCGACGTTTTGAGTTCTTTGTAGAACCCATAATCAATTGGTTGATTGATACTAAGGTGCTCAACGTCTCAAATCTAACCCCGGCACGGCTACCTTCCACTTAAAATTATTATTTAATGATCCTATCTAAGCAAAATAGAACTTATAGTATAGAAGTTTTATAATGGTATGCTTTAATTGAAATTTATATACATTATTTATAGGATCCGAATCAGATGGTAACACCCGGTTATCTTCTTAATTAAGAATAGGATGTTCGGATCAGAGTTATTTTGCAAGTACTACTGGTCTATTAAATCCGTTGTAATGAAAAGGGTCGATCGAAGCGAAGAATATATTAATTAATTTTTTGATTGATTCAGTAATGGTTTAGTTGTTAGAGATGACTAAATTCATCATAGTACCGTATCACATCGATCATATTTATCTGCATGTGACATTGTATGACGTTATTAATAACATTTATAATAAGAAACCTTAAACTCATCGTGCTCTAATTGTTACGTATGATAATACACCCAATTTGTTAATTAACTTATTGGTAATTATTCGGCTGTGAGAGTACTTAAAGGAATCTCTTTGCCATTAAGTTAAATAAAATTGATATTGTATTGTATATAACAGAGAGAGCGAGATTAGCTATGACGGAGATCATAAAAAAATTGCGAACCATACCGAGTACCGACTGAATGATTCCGAATACACTGAGACATTTTGTGAGCGGGTAAAGGAGAGATGGATAGATACATAGCAAGTTACAGTTTATTTGCATCTTTCACTCGAAAACCAGGTAGGTACTCGTGTCAGTAACAGTAGCCGCTTACCATCAGACGGACTGTAAGTTTGTTTGTTTCTTCACTTAGAAAGAGAATACATATTCGAGATCACCCCCGTCATTATATCACATTTAATAGACAACAAATCCTTGCAAAAGTACATCGATTCATATTGCATACGCATTATATGCATATTCAAGTCAATGAGACTTTTATTCGGCAAAGGTGAAATTATAATAGTGTTAGTCAAAACTGGATTAAAATTGTTTTAACAGGAATCATGAAGATATACCATTTCAATAACGGAGGCCAATAAATATGCCTGATGCCGCTTTTCTTCTTTCCAAACTTCATTATCTTCCAGCATCGCATAAGCATACAGCATAAGTTCTCCTAGCATTGGTTTTTTTTCTAACGTGTAATATTCTGTCATCTGAAAATATAATACATACTTTTAAAGTAAAAGTACAGTTATGCAATACTAGTATATGTATGTGAACCTGTCACCGTATTATCTCTCATGGTTTCAAAATTGATTAAATCTAAACGTTCTTTAAAGACGGGGTGGGCCCACTGACCTCTATATATAAATACAAGTTTCTTTATATAGAAGAGGGGTAAACGAGCATGCTGCCGATATGATGGTAAGTGACTACCGCCGCCCACGAACAACCGCAACACCAGAGGAATTGCAAGTGCGTTGCCGGTTTACAAAATGTCTGTGCCGATTTGGAGCGCCACCATTTTCTAGCCTGGTAACTAAAATTCACATAATATGCCAAAGTCTGTTGTCTTATTTAAACATTATCTCTGTATTTTAAATTTTTAAATTAAAAAAACAATAGTGTTTTATCTGGTTTGATTGTGAATAAGTTTAGTAACATACTAAGAATTATTTCTTATAATAATGAGAAGAAAGTGGTTTAAAATGCCACAATTAAGTGAATTTACATCTAATATTAAACAAATTAAAACTATTTGATAATTTTAGGCACTTAAAAGTTTGTTATTAATCTTAATATCGTAATTACAAACAAAATGCAATAGGGTTGTCGAGTTCCTTGTCTATAAACTTATTGATGTTCAATATCTTTCCTACCCATATCTGCTAACAACCACAGTCGCCGACAACAGATAATTATCAAATATTTATTAATTAACAAGTTTCCAACTGACCCTAGACTAAATTATTGCTTAAAAGCAGAAATATTTTAAATTGGCGTACGAAACAAAATTATTATTTTTGCTTCAAACATTTCACAAACGACTGTTTTATTAGACATGAAAAACGCACTACTTTGAAAAAGTACAGCATACCGACAATGTTTTTTGCTAGTACCAGTACCAGTAATTATAAAAGTATTAAATTATCTCTTCTCATTTTCCCTCAAACTCAAGGGCCATAGTCAAGTGTAGAAAGATCGCCTGATGATGACTTTGTGTTTATAAGATGTAAACTTGTTAAAACTGTTTAAATATTACCAATTTGTTTTATCTAGGAAATAAATATATATGGGGACCGCAAAATTATTAATGTTCTTAGTGAGTTTGCGTGCTGTTTAGGTAGGAAATAGCTCATCCCTGAACGGGTTTCCGCCATGTCATGGCGGGGAGGGGGGGGGAATTAGTAGCTGTGGTAGGTAACCCATGTTAAAAGAAGGCTGTAACTCACATGGCTGATCCGAGGTGGTCACTCTGAGTGGGCTTGTCGAGCCCTTGGATGTGTGTTAGTAGGCTGCAGCTAGAGGAGATTCCTCTCCCTGTAACGCTGCAGTCGAGTTGGAGTCGCAGAGAAAGGAAAGAAGGGAATAGTGTTGGTATGTCGATTGGCGATACGCTACTCGATTATACTCAGACGTGGTCCTTCACTGCTCGCCGTATGAGCAAGCTAAATTGGTCTAGCGGAGCCGTGCGTTGAGTTAGTTTCTTGCGTCGATGTGCTCAGCGAGTTATAGAGGGCTATATTCGGGGTTTCTCTGCGTAATAAACTTAGGAATGAGGATATCCACAGTAGAATCAGAATGACCGACACGACAACCGATGGAGAAGAAAGGTTGTCGACTGGCAGCCTCGTACCGGTGAGCGAAATGTAGGTTATCCTCCCACTAGATGGAGTGACAGCCTAGTAAGGCATGCAGGAAGTTGATGGATGCAGGTGGCTCAGGACCGTATTTTCTGGGAATACTTGGGGGAGGCCTATGTTCAGCAGTGGACCTGTGAAGGGCTCTAATGATGATGAGTGATGACATATTATATTAATATGGTACGTAAATAAAATGGACGTTATGGGTAGAGAGGCCTACCCGTAACGTCTATTCTATTTATTTAGGTATAGGTAGGGTAAATAATTTTTATCGATATATTTTGTCACACTGTCTTATCTCTATTATTAGTCCCGTGGACGTTCACTTCTGTTGTCAACGCCAAAATGGCGCAAATTTAATCGCCTTATTATGTCACGGTGTAGCCAGTCCATATATAGAGGTCTGTGGGCGGACCGCAAATGTTCGGCGAGCGTTTCTGCGTACTATTATTATACGGGACCGTGGATAGAGCTTTTTTAAAAAAAACTATTTAATACACGACACAATAAAATTTATTTAAATTCACAATAGGGAATTAATAAACTTATAATAACTAGGGCTTAGAAAGATTTTGTAAGGATATAGTAACGACTTAGTAACGATGACTGAGACTGGAATGAGACTTTGATCTCTCATGTTCGTCATGTTATGCTTTATGTCGCTGACGCATGTGAAGATGTGTAACCGATCTCCTAACATTGATGGGGTATAACAGTGCTACATCTACTAGGTATACAAGGCAAACTGAGCCTTATAAACGGATTTTTGGAGATTTAGATCTGCCGACGGATTCCGTCCCACTCTGCGCCACCCTGGCTCCAGTGGAAGCAGTTTCACTAGGCGGGTTTTAGCGTAGCGGTGCGACCCGATTTAGTCTCCCCGACTAAAGGATGCCTAGCTTAGGAAGTACAAGAAAATCCTGTACCTATCTCCCGAAAGATTAAGCGTTAAAAAAGTGTGTCAATATAATGTAGTACGTCAAACCAATTTATGTGAAACATTTAACTTACTTCTTTTATACGATTCCGTATATTCCATGAGTCCAAATAACAAATTTTTGATAAAGCTTCATCGATTATATTTGGAAAGATTGTTCGAAAGTTATCGACGTACTCCTTTGAAAATGCAACTGCCTTTTGAATTTCGTCATTTCTGCAATCAAACGTACCAAAACACATTTTAAATAATTTGGTTAAATCATCATTTGTGTTATTGTTAACACATTACCCATAAGAAATTAGAAATTCGTCATCATCATCGTTACAGTCTATCAAAGTCCCCTGCTAAACAAATACCTCCCCAAAGATAACTACCTAAGCAAGTATCCTCCACGCGCCATAGATGCCACACTTGGCAGGCAGGTTGGCAACCCGAGTCTTTTAATATTCTAGTTGTTTCGCTTCATGCGTCACCTATGATTTTTTTATTTAGTTTAGTGTTTTTTTTAACAACACTAATACACAGTATCTGCATACAATGACTACAGAAGTGATCACTGATACAACAAAAAAAGTATTATACTTTTAAAACTAGTTTTTATATCCCAACGAAAACGCATGTTTGAATTTGTTTCCAACAAGATAAGAATACAGAGTTATGGCGCCATTTACATTTTGAATTCATTATTGGCTTTAAAACTTTTTAGATGTAGTAGATATTATATGACATTTTTGACATTTCATGATCACGATCTCAAATGCTTTCCAAAAAGCAGTCTAAATGACTTGCTTTGTTTTCGGAGTTACAATACAGTACAATACCCTTTATTGTACTAATTTTATTGTACACTAAGAAAACAAAATAACATAACAAGAAACAAACAGAGGGAAAAACAAAAGGCGGTCTTATTGCTATACAGTAATATCTTGCAGACAACCTAAATAGGAAATAAAAATAAGTGATAAGTTAATTAACGGGTAGAGTGCACTCTAAATAATATTATAATGTAAAATTTTAATTAATAAAATACCGCAATTTAATTAATTGACGGACTAGTGATCATAAAGCGTCTGGAAGAGATGAAAGGAGGGGGGGGGGGAATTAAGAAGGAAAGATATATGTTTCTTAACTTGGTTTTTCAAGGAGTCCATTGTTTGAGCACGTTTAATAGTTTATTGGTAAGGAGTTCAAAAGCTTGACTCAAAGAACTGAAAAAGAACTTTACTGTAAAAAGTAGAGAAGTACAAGGGACGTAGAAGGTAAAGGTTTTCTATAAACCCAAGGGAAAGTTTACGAGAGGAGCTGAGAAAATGGAAAAGTTCTTTCAGGTAGGAAGGACTTGATATAATTAAATAAGACGCAGTTAATCGGAGATAAGAGGGTTACACTACGAAGCCACATGATGGTTTTTGTTATAAACGTAAATGTAGGACGTTACTTTAGGGTCTCCCTTACCAAATATGCCTCATAGGGAGTAATACTTTCATAGGTGCCACGCTTAACAGGCGGGTGTGGAACTGCAGTTTTTTTACTGAGTTGCTATTAGAAATATTTTTATAGCCATGTAATTTATGTACTCACAATAATAGGCGCACACCTGCTTCCTTCGCTCGTTGTCAGCCAATTGTCTTAAATGCGATTACATTTTCCCTTCTCCTTTCCCAATTGGGAAGTTAACTTAGGAAGACGGGAACTTTCCTGATTGGCTAATTAGGATCCTAAGCGTTTTTTTATAGGATAGGGTGTCAAACGAGCACACAGTCCACCTGATGGTAAGTGGTTGCTGTGGCCCATAGACATCTACATCTATCCTCGATTACGAATCAAAATGCAGATGCGGTGTCACCCGTGAGGACTAAGACGGAATGCCTCGTTTCCAGTAAAAAGGGTCTCCGGTTCTCCACACTTACCATACGAAATACAGCAGCATTATGGTACTATTTTACACTGGTAGTGGTCCTTCCCCGGTAGAGCCGACCCATTCGTGCTACAACTATACTTCTAATATAACTGCAGCATGGCCATCTACCACGTATAAAACGCGTTTTAAATCTTATTACACTTTCCTTTTCCAGAATCTTCATTAGGTTCACTCAGTGTAGTTTAACACGTTTTTTGCCATGTATCGAAAACCATAGAAAAATCATATGGTTTTCGATACATGGCGGTATAACTGTCTAGTTTACGTCAGTCGTAAAATACTCGACCCAGCGACGGCGAATGTGTAGTAACAAGTTGCGAGACGGCTGACACTGTGATCGTTAATTCCTATGCTAAGCATGACGATTGAGACAAATCCTTCTTACAACAGTGAACTTTACGGGCCTATAAAGAATATACCCTGCCCCTCCACCTCCATTGAAATATGATAAACTCGTCTAGTTTTAATGTCATTTAATATTAAAAACTAAGCCATTATATTTAATAACAAAAAATTATAGAACTTGCATGCAAGTATGCTTACGTTTCTCGTTATATCAAATTGCTTCTCGACGATATTTTATTATTGATATATTTTAAATGTCTCGTAACTAGTAAAATGAGTCTCCGCTTCTCGTCATTGACCATCTATTATGACGACTCGTCTATTTCGTGATGGTTCGTGGCGCGTGGTCCTTACCTGATTGAGTAGACTCAGTCGTGCCTTTGCGAGTTTAAAAAATTTAAAAAAAAAGGGGGTTTTGAGGGTGGGGGGGGGGTTGGGGGGGGGGAGTATTTTTAATATTGGGGGAAAGTTTTTTTGGGTATAGCCCTCACTGAAACTAACTTTACAGAGGAATGATTTCAAGGCTAGGGGACATAAACGCTCAATGCTCACGACTAAAGTCTCTTACGTAACGAGTATCTCGAGACTCGGCACGACGTGTAGGAACTGTAAAATATTATTAAAATATCTAATGATGAAAACCGTATAATGTTTTTGTAATAAATATTATATCATCGTAAAATAATAGTGGCCGGCGCCAAAAACCATACAATAATTTAAAAAAGTTCACGCGAATATATACTTTCTCGAGTGAATGAAATAAAACTCACCCATCGGGTAAATTCCTTGCTTGATCCATCGACCTTATGACAAGTCTAAAGAACTAAAAAGAAACAAGTTTTTTTCTGTACTGGTAAAGACTGGTCATCTGTTGTCTTCGAGTGTTTTACGCAAAATGACTACATTACGTGAAATAAAATCATATTATATCCTTATTCATGGATGTTGTTTATGTTTAAGAGCGCTGAAGAAGTTGATTTATTTGAACAAACGTAATGCAATTTTTTTAAAATTCAAACTTATTTGCGTAATTTATGATATTATTCTGATTTGGATAGTAAAATTATTCAGATTCCGAATTGAGTTTTTCCTTCCTTATTACTTACATGAACAAAAATTTGTTTGCGCAGTGGCTTAGCAATGAGTTATAGCACTGAATGCCGCAGGTTCGAATCCCACACGGTTCAAGTATTTGAATGGCCTACAAATAATTGTTTCTAGTCTGAATGTTTTTCTTTGTGCGATTTTACTAATGCAGTATGGGGAAAATTTTTTTAAATGATAAAGAAAATATTGAGGAATGTATGACATTATTGAGCTATGCTTCATTTGAATTTCGATTTTGTGTGACATACACCTTACAATGGAACCATTAGACCAGTCTTCATATTCAGATGATATTAAGACGACCATTTTTATCGCTAAAGAATATACGCGAACGAATGGGATTTAGAGAAACCATGCCATCCATGCTGCAACTATATTATAACAGTAGCAAGAATGGGTCTGCTTTACCGGAGAGGAACCACAGCTTCACAAAATACCAACGTAAAACAGCGGCTTACTAATGCTGCTGTATTTTGTATGTTTGGTGTTGATAACCGGAGAGCCTTTTTACTGGAAACGAGACATTCAATCTTAGTTCTTAAAGTGACGACGCATCTGTATTTCGATTCTTATTCGAGGATACTTATAGGCCACAGCATTCACTTAACATCAGGTATACTGTGTGCTCGTTTATTACACCTATTCTATAAAATGAAACCGTCGAGCACGTGGTAAGTGGTAAATCAGCACTTAAACTTGCAATTAACATTATCATTGGAGCCGACGGGAATCAAACCCGGGCCGCTCGGGTACTGTGAAATTTACAAATATGGAATATAATAATTTCTTATTAAATATAAATTACATGTAATTCTTACTGAGTCATTTTTTTACTTTTGCCACTTAAACTTTACATTGTTTGACAAAGCATTTAAATTAAAACTCTCTCTTGATCGAACTAATTTTACACTCATTTCAACACCATTAATTAAAAATTTATAATAGTAATAATAATATTTTTTATTGACACAAAGTAAGGATTACATTATTTATCTTGAAGACTTTAGAATTTGAACAAATGGTATGAGTTATAACTTATGTATACAATTTTATGCACTATACATCTTAGACACTAGTCACTTCCAAATGACACAATTACTTACAGTTATAAAAGTATACGGCATATTATGATTCAATTAACCTATGTATTACGTTACAAATTTGCAAATATATTACCACTTTTTTGAGTTTACCGTCACACTAACTAATTATGCGTATTAACTTATTATGCGTATGAAAGGTTAGGCTACTACTTATAGGAACTTTTTTAATTTCTTAATTTATAATGCAATAAATGACTATTGTTATCACAAGTCAGAGAACTATTTTTTGGTGATAGGTTACAATGAAATATTGCAAATATATATGATATATAACTTTTTAATAATTCTTTTTAGTAATTCTACAGGTATTTAACAAAAGTTATGCAATGTACAGTGAACAGTCATATACATATTATATAATTATTTAATTCATGGTTTTTGCAAAGGTTTTTTTTAAAATTATATTTTAACTTAATTAAATATAGTTTTATAAGTAGCTATAAAAGTTAAATAATTTTTAATTATTATAGTTAAAGTACTTTTAGTAGATAGTTATATATTTACATATATATTTTTATCTTGGTTGAAAATGTCACCGTGAAGATGTCCAATCATTTCTATTTCCTTACTTTCACTAACCAATTCCTGTCTTTTAACAAATCCTATATTTTTACCATCTGTAGAATCCATTTTCCTGCTGTATCCTCATACCAGCACAGGATAAAAGGAGCATAGTTTAAAAGGGTTTCCATGTATGCTCGATATGCATAGGTATTATTAGGTGGTGATACAAGTTATTGGTTTAAAATTTAAACCAAAAACTTGTACACTTTTTAGTCAATCTGATGTTTATTTAAACTTTAAATAAACATCACGTTGACTAAAAAGTGAATGCAGCCAATCATTTACAGGCGCTACTGCTGTAGCTGATATCAAGTTAGTTGAATCTTAATTTAATACTTTTGCCTTTATGTGGAGCCGCCTGTCCTAGGATCTTGAAACTCGATAGCTCCCTCATCAACAAGAGACAATATTGGTTTATAGTGAATCCACAATCCATTTTCAATGTTTGTTTGTGTAGACGGTAGTGCAAACAAATCCAATTCTGACTTAACGCACTCACCAGAACGATTATGAAGGAAAGAAATATTTAATTTGAAAATATATCTTTCATATTTTGGTTGGTTGGTTGGTTGGAGGTTGGTTTTGGACCAAGTTTTTTCGCAGCTTTTTTCGCAGCCAATCGTTTTTTTTAGTTATGTACCCCGATCCTGTCATGTTAAATTGATCAAATTTGTCATCAGCCTTTCGTTTTAAATTCGTACTGACTTGCTTTAGACGATCTTTTATTGAGGCTTTCATAGGATGCACTTGCACCATATCCGATAAAAGTCCTACTGCAGCGCTTCCTTGCCAATCACTCGAGCACCACTTGAAAGTAAAGGTAAAACTGATCTAAATAACCCCTAATAAGCTCCCAATACCATGACCGCGTTGTTATGGCAAGCCCTTATAAATTACTCCAACTCCTGACCCACCTTAATGTGTATAATAATTTTTATATGGACATTTATGATGATCACGAAGAGAATTCATTATTATAATTTTCGGAAATCTAGTTTACACACGGTTCCAAACTGGAATGGTATTTTTTGTCCTGTGCTCGATCTTATAACTATTTCCAGCGTATCGAACTCGCTTGGCGTAATAGGTAAGTAGTGAGGTGGAGAGAAAACGTGCATTTTATTTGCACCATAAAAGTATTTTGTAGGATCTAATGAAATAACTGTAGGTAAAGGAGTCATATCACCCACAATCGCATAAGAGATAATGTCGCAGTATAGAAATAGTTGAGATGGAAACCCTAAGTGTAAATTAGCAGGACACTTCCTAAAATTTCTCTTTAAGAGATTTTTATTTGGTTCATAACCTAGTTGTAAACTTAATTTTGGTGATAATGTTACGGATGTTATATTTTTATCTACAACAGAAACAAGACACAAATGTTGTTATTTCATCATAGCGAAATTTTAAGATCTCTCAGATACCATTTAACGCTCTTAAAATATGCTCAACGTTATCATAATTGGTAGCTGGAATATGTTTTTTGTAGTACACTGTGGATGGTTTATCTTCATTTGGCATTAACATTTTCATAATCTTGAACAGTAAACATGGTACTTGGATATTGAAACTCAACAACTCCATCCAACCATTCACCTTCTAATTTCATAGCTTTTGGTAATTTCGTTAAGAAAATGTGGTCTTGTTATCAGGAAAGTATTCCATTGAACTATTGCTGAGCAAAGTTATTTAAAAATTTCTTTATTCATATTTCTTTTAAACTAGAAGTTAAATTCAACTATTGAACTTATCGGGATAACCTTTCTACTTCACTAATAATTCTTTTCTGTTACCTGAATAACGAGGATCAATTATTTTATCTATTTTATATTGTGTAGTGGGGTTGTAAGTGATTTCCTGTAATTCTCTTTCATAAAAAGTACCAACTATTGGTTTATTTTGTAAGTCTGTTATTGTATAAACAACCCATGGAGATCTATCAATTATTAAAGATATATCCTTTTTGGAAAACATGTTTATATTTAGTTATTCGAACATAATCACCCACATTGGAAGTTGGTTTTGGATTTTCTAAAGAAAGTTTGTTTGACCGTCTGTCATAAAAATTAGTCCAAACTGTCATAATATTGTTGGAATTTACATCACATGGGCACATCTTAATACTAGAGTGAAAGCTGTTATTATAAGAGTATATTAAATCTTGTAAAACATCTATATATCTCTAAGTTTTATTATGAGTGAAATAACGCCACATTTTCATTTTTAGAGTTCTTTGAAATCGTTAAACAATACTGGCCTTAATGTCAAGATTGTTAGCGGTATAGTAACTAATATTTTTGGATTTAAAGTATTTTTGTACATCTTTTGAAACATGTACCTTTATCAGATTTTATGTAAGTGTTAAATTATTTTCAGTAAATATATTTTCAAAGCATTTTTAGTTGTTTCTAAGTTTTTCTTTTTCATTGGTATTGTAAAAGCATTTACTAAGTACATCAATAACACAAAGTATGTTGTTGAAACCATCATTATATTGAGAATAAGTTCGCATATTACTTAAATCAGCTTGCCACAGTTCATTAATATTTGATGGAATGTACCTATTACGCAGGATTTTTTTTCGAATGGGTTTATGTAAAATGTGTATTTTTCTTGTGATTGTAACCATTCCTTTAATTGCTTTTTATCCATTTTACCCTTCATGGCTTTTGATAATTTATCAATACTATATAAACCAGCAGGATTAGATGGATCATAATAAATTCTCTTAATTTCTTCTAGTACGGGGTCCATTTTTCCCAATCAAGGTTTTTACGTATTTTAGTTATAGCTTTTTTATCTCTACTGCTCGGTGTAGAAAACTCTATTTTAGTTATAGATTTTATATCTCCACTGTTCGATGTAGAAAACTCTTGAACTTCAATCTTAGAGGGTTTGTTCAGATCTTTTGCTTGAAGCTGGTTAATAAAGTCACATCTCTTTGAATTTATAATATAAGTGGTAATTTAATATCTTTTAATGCCTTAGCAAATCTATCCCACCCTAACGGAACACTTATTTTTAA